GGATTACTTTTCATCGTTGCATAGGATGTCTTAAACTGCTGAAACCTCAGACATGTTTTGCTGGTTTGCTTAAGGATTTCAAATGCTGAATTTATGAAATTACAGAAGACAAAAGCTCACCTAAATATTTCATCTATTGGTTTCCTAAAAAGAAGACACATCAGAAAGTCTCTTGTCATTAGAAGGAATATTCTTATTTTTAAATACACAGGAGAAAAATCCATACGGAAATAAATTCATCACTGTTATATATACAGCAAGTGTTAGAAGCAGTGTGTGCAAGAAAGGTCACTCCCCCCGTCTTGATTTAAAACAAAACCAAAAAACTAAAATCCCAGTGCATTAAGGCTTGGAAGCAGTTCAGTTTGGAGCCAGGCTGGGTTTTCTCTGCCACCTGTTTCATAACCCAGAGAAATATTCCTGAACTCACTGGCCAAGCCCACAATTCAGCTGCAAAACTAATTAATCTCATCTGCCCCCATCAGCACAGGCCAAATCATCGGGTTCAGGCTCTGGCAAGGGGCCTCTCAAGCTGCCAGCACGCTTTCAGCACTGAACTGGAGTTACAGACACGGGGGGTTACTTGGCCACATTTCCTCCCCCCCAAAATCCATTCCCCCCAGAAGCTTTAGGGAGCGCTCCCCATGCTTACAGCGGGGTGCAGCATCTCCGCTCCCGGAGCACCAGGGGCCGGGGCCGACACAACCACAGCCAGCAGCAGCTCTAGCGTTAGTCACGTAATGCATTTGCCATGACTTGGGGCAAGGTAGCCTTGCTTGCAGAGCTTTGTGGCCAAAAACATTTTTAGGGGTTTCAAGTGAGTTCTTGTGCCCTTAGGACTCACTTTGGGAACTTTGCTTCCAAAATTGATTAGGCTACAGTATGTTAGAGAGAGGATGTTGGTACTTACAATTTTAAATAGAACAAGCTGTAAAGAAAGCTGCTTGCCCTCTGCTCCTGGGCAGCAGGCAGACGTGGTTATCTTAACGTAATGGAAATCACCATGCTTCCATGGTCAGTTAAATTAGACTAAGGAATTTTGTTTTGTAAACTAGAAAACAAAGATAAAACATAAATTTGGCTAGGCTTCAGATTCCCCCAAGATCAGTAACTTAAGTGCGTTATCCAAAATGTCTGTTGATGACTCCATGAAGCTAACACGTACTAAATATTTTAGTGATCAAGATAAATCAATTGCTCAGTCTCAGATTGACCTATATTTCATAAGCATTAGCAGCCTCCCTGTCAATCATCTTTATTGCTAATGACATCTAGTGGTAACATTTAGCTGCATTTCTGAATTCCTGTAAAACAATCTTACATTCTCTCAAACCAGAAAAAAAGAGAGCGGTTTCCTAGGGGAAAAAATGCACTACGCTTTGTGAGAGGCTGAGATAATTACTGAGTTTTGAGCGAGACTGCCAGTACTACCTAAAAGTAAAATTCATCTTTATGAGCTATTTGCAAACTCAAAGCATTCAAAAAGACCCACATAAACATTTTCATATGGAAGGAGAAAATAATCAACTGATCTGGCGTGAATTTGCTGAGCAAAGCACATCTTTTTTTAACTCTTCCCAATAAGATCATGACTGCTCTGAAACAACTTAGCAGTTAACAACCTACTCTTCTAACTATGTGCGTGTGGAAAGCACATAGAAGTCTGAACAGATTTCCTCTTAGACCCTGTGCAGTCAATACAAAAATCAACAGTTCCTCTAATGCAGTCTGTCGATCCGCATGATACAATCGATAAGGAACACTGAGTTCAGAATGTAAAGGCCAAATACACTGATCTCAGTTGAGGACCGCAACCCCCCGCCGCAGCCTTGCCCGGGGATCTGTACCTCGCTCTGCTCCTGGGAGCTCTGCTTCCCGCAGGTCTCGGCTGCTTTGGTGACGGAAGGGGTTGGTAGGGTAGATGTACCACCAGCAGATCCTTGGAGATCTGCTGGTTAGTTCCTCATAGCCGAAGTGGCAATGGGTGCTGTATACAGCAGGGTCCATACCTGCCAGCATTTCCAATGGAAATGAGAGCGGCAGAAGTCCAGAGAAGCTACTGCTGCCGATCTGTACGTGTGCAGTGACTCAGACGTCCTGAACATACCAGACTTGCTGCAGGTGCATAGATGGATCTCCTTTGTCTGTGCTGGACTCACCATATTCAGGATGCAGAATAAACCTATGCAGAGAGGGCATTTGCCTGGAAATTTTCAAAGATGATCATTAAAAGGTTTGGCAGCTGCAGCAGGAGCACTGATGGGTATGGATACCAGCAGCGGTCCTGTGCTAGGAAGATAATTCTAGCCTTCCTCCTTGACTGGCATGGAAATGCCATCAGTGGTCAGGCTGTGCCTCGGGGACGGGGAAGAACAACCCCGGTTAAGAGATTTAGTCGACTCAAAATGAGCTCTCTTCCTCCGTTACGAGCAAATGTCTTGGGTTCTGTGGCAGCAGAGGCTCTGTCGGGAGGGGGAAGGCTGCCATGCAGAGCCATTAGAGCAATAGGTAAAGCACTATTCTGGTATTCTGTATCAATGTTTTGCAGGCCTGGCAGTGGTCACAGTTGATGCCTACAAGCACTGGATATTCCACAAGTTGAAGACGGAATACTGACTTGTTTACCTGAAGATAATAGGACTTCGGGGTATTTCCTCAGAGAAAATATAAATTTTAATATAATTTCATAAGCTTTGGAGGTTAGCTTGTCTTGTAGCTTCAGTGATATCAAAACTTCTTCAAGTAGGAGCTAGATAGAAAGCTGTTTAGTTTTTGCCAGCGTATGTAAAACAAGACTTTTCTATCTGCATTGTAGATTGTTTGTGGACACTTCCAGATTCTTGTGCTTTCTGCAGTCATTCTGGGGACTGAACTCTCATTGATACCAGTAGAGGTTCCATGAACAGGACACGTGCAGGATTTTGAGTGTAGAAGCCCACGGCGTGGTTTGGAGTAGTGAATTGCTTTTAGTTTGGAGATGACTGGGGGAGATGGGAAGAGCAACTGTACATTAAGGGAACAATTACAGATTTTCTTCCCGGTGACATCAATGAGAGATTTGCCTTCAACCTTCCACAGAAGAAGATTTTTAGCTTTAATTTGGGACAGTAAAGGGGTTTTTCAAAAGCACTAAAAGCCAGTGGGAGCTTGTTCAACTGCTCCTTACGCCTTTAAAAACCCCTGCACCAAAAGTGATAGCTAACAACATGAAATGGAAGTAAATAAAATGCATTTTCATTGCTGTTTTGAGTTACATAATTGTTGTTTCTTGATTTGTTAGTTGATCTGAATTTACATGGATTTAATCTATATGGTGACCAAGAAAACGGTCAGTAACTGGTAAAGGTGCAAAGTATAGCCACAAAGCAAGCAATGTGTGTGTGTAGACCCTAAGCAGCTAACAAAGACAGGTAACAAAAGTTCACTGCCTACAGCCATAAGTCTTTTGTGTCCACATCTACCAAGCTAGATGGCCATTTCAGCATTACCAGCAGATAACAAATGCTCCCAGCTGACTAAAAGGATAAGCTCAAGGACAACTAGGACCCAGTCACAGATAAGAACTCACAGACATCAGTTAAACGTCACCCTGCCTGCGTGGAGCACTGAGCATGTTCCTACTGTTCTTCAGAGTATCGGAGCAAGAACTACCTTAGCGCTAGGTCAGCTTGTGCAGGGCAGATTGCCGCTGGACGGTCACATCCCTCTCTCAAGTCCTCTCTGGCAGTAGCTGCCATAAGAAATGCAGTGGGACAAGGATCTAGCAGAGGGTTCAGATCTACTGAATACACCAAAAATGACTCTCTTCTGTATTCTCTTAAGATCGAGGCCACAAAGAGCCCTTACATCATCTGGTTTGATATCGTGGTCAGGCTCTTAGTTTCACCTGAGAGTCCTACACAGAGCCTAGCAACCTGGGCTAAAGTATTTCCTCCAGAAATGGTCTGTTAAATCAAAAGGCATTAAAGTGATGGGGATTACGTGACTGGTCTGCTTAGAATTAACCAGTCTAACCATTAAAAATCCATAGCTTACTTGATTTGATTTTGTGTAGCTTCAGCTTCCACCCGTTGGATGGATATTTGTACATCTTTCCCTGTTCAATTTAAGAACTTGTTAATATAAAGCATCTCCTCCCTGTAAAGGAATCCGATTGCCTCTTGATCTTCATTGTAAGCTGAACAGACTTGGCTGTAAGCCATTTTCTTCCTCCCTGAAATAATTTTTTATGGCTTTTTACTGCACAATCTCAATTTTTTCCGACATCTTTAAAAATGTGAACAGTGGAATAGTTTGCAAATTTTTAACTGATCTCACTTAGTGCCATATAGTGCAGATATAAAAATCATAATCCTCCTTTTATTCATTACCCTGCTCTGCATGGGATGTGCCTGAGATGAGATAATTTAAAGAAAGAGACCGGAAAAGGGGAGAGAAGGAAGAGGACAAGAAGAGTGTGCAGAGCTAGAGAGTTTACAGTTCAAACCACGTAAACCAAGAAAAATCAATCACAAACGAACCCTACAAACCAAGACAATTAAATACTCCAAACTCCCAAGTTTTGGGAACCCCAAAAGCAACATTATGTGCTCTGTTGTTTAAGAAAAGACTTCAGCAGAGCCCTCCCTGTCCTGCAACTCTCTACACTGAAAGTATTACTAGGTTTTTGTGTTTTGAAATTCTGCAGTGGAGGTTTCTTGGGGAATTTGGGTTCCACAGTAACAAAGCTCTTGCCCATCTTCAGCCACAGCCCCAGAACAGGACCCAGAGGTCCTTCCTCTTGAGAAAAAAAAGCTTTTCTTGATAGTAGCAGAAATAATCACAGGTAGTCAAGGCTGTTCTGTTTAGCCAAACAATCGCTATTTCCATCATATCAACAGCAGGTAGCAATGAATGGAGCTTGGCTTTGTTTCCTCTGCAAGTTGCAAGTCCTTCTCTTGTTTGACCAGATGGTATACAGCAGCTTCTTTCATTTCTAGGGCTGCATCCTTTTTTTCTTCTTTGTTTTCAGCCAGTTTTTTTCACCCTTTTAAATGTGTATGTGCAATGCAAATACAGAGCCAAATTAGGACAGGGATTTCTCCCTCCTTCATGCGATAAGCATACTAGGCAACGCGCTGTCTCAGTACTGTTAGTTCACGCAGCAGCATTAGCAGTGAATACTGTTCATTCCCAGCTACTGTCATTGGTACCTTTATCAAATCCTGATGTTATCATGCGTATCTTACAGGTTTGGGAGCTTTACAATATTTTCAAAGTCCATAAATGACAGAATCCAGTATAAAAAAAGGTCAATATATTACTGTTGAAAGTTTTTTTTTTTCCTTTTTTTATACAAAAATTAAAAAGATCAAAATATGTCACATTATTTACATATTGTGCTTCATGCTTAGAGATCACTGAAAAAAGAACACACAGACAAACATTTTAATCAGAGAAATGCTCCATTCATTACACTTACTAATCTTATTGTTAATATTATAAGGATTGGCATTCAGATTTCTTTTAATATTAACAGTACATCCAAATGACTTACCACAGAATTAAACTTTTTTATGCTAAGGGCGTGCTCTTATTCTAACCGAGGGTTTGCAACCAGTTGGTAACGTGCTTGCTATTAACTCAAACTGTGTCCACATACCACATGTTTGAAACTGGGTTAGCAATTCCGCTCAGCTTCAGTGTCATACCCTCGTCAGAGAATGAGGTTACAGCATCCTCCTGCCTCTGGATCAGGTGCTCATCTTAGGCGGGGACGGGTCTCTCCTCATTCTCCCGGGCTGCCTTTAGCACTTAGAGCCCCTGGCTGTTCTGGGTGCCTGAGACAGTATGAATTGCCTGACCATGTGCACCCTGATTTACTGAGTCGAGCACCGAAGCAGCGTAGTGGTTGTGGATTATAATTACAATGGCAGAAAAGCCTTTGTTTGGAAATAAATGTTTTGTAACTCTGTGACAAAGAGGTAACCCACTGTAAAAGTCTCGGCTAGAGGGTATGGTCTAAGTCACACCAGCACATTTTGCAGACCGGTGCAGTCTTTGCATGAGTGGTTCCTGAACTGCCTGGGCCATAATAGAAGCCTAGCGTGAGCAAGCCTGAAAAAAAGGCATTGCTACCGACAATATTAACGAGAATGACTTTTCACGCTTAGCAAGTTTTTGGAGCGGTGTTCCTAGCACCAGTCTACAGCTGTGGGGAACAAGACACGAAGCTAGATGGAATCCTGCTCTCCCAAGGCATGGCTTTATGTCTGCCAGGCGTATAGCCTGTTGCTTAAAGGGAGTGCAGCGGTACAAACAATCACCACGCAGCAAACAAAATTACTCAGGATCTGCTCAAGGATATACAATTATTATTATTACTATACCTTATGCCAACATCCTGCTACTGGCAGTCCGTCTGGTCCCTGCAAAATTGAATTTACAGATTTAATTTCTGTTGACAGTGACTTAAGTGTCAGACCCAAAAACCTGAAGCTCAATCTTCACAACGATGAAAGGTTTAGCAGCACTGTTAATTACCATGCAAAACCTATTTTACTGTATATGCACAAAAATAAATATGCAGGCAATGTAATCCATGTGTCACACACAACACAAAATTGAATACACCCCAGGGTTAAAAAAAAAAAATCTACACTTTCTTTTTCCTTTAAACAAAAAAGAAAATGTGAACAAATAGAAACATTTGGAACCACAGTTAATTAACTTTATAATCTGCTTTATAAGGTAGTGTTTTTTGCAATCGCACATATATATGGAAAGCATGATGTGGAAATGTATTTTTTGTTAATATGTGCTTTTCAGTTTGGAGGCGGTGATGTAACTTTTTTTTTTCCTGGATGATACCCTAATTGTGTTAAATTCGGTCCTGCAGTACTTAGTTTCTTTAAGAAGTCCTGAGTTGCTGAACTGATTGAAATAGGAGGAGTTGTGGACTATGCAAAGGGAGTGAAAATATTTGTCTTTTTCTGATGGAGATACAAGAAACATACAGAAATCAGAAGGCCAGAAGAGCTTACCAGGAGGAACACACTGAAAAGGAAGGAGCCCCTTAGAAGAGGAATGGACTTTGTATGACCAACTCTTTCAAGATACTTTAGAAGAAACAGCTGACTTAAGCTGCCTTTTCTGATGCTGGATTTTTTTAAGGCTCATGGATCTCTGATTGCATGAATTTCTGCATGTAGAGCTACAGGGAGCACACATGCGCTGACCCTTCCCTCAGAGCTACCTCCAAATTAACCAGGGGTGGGAAGCCACGAGGATGCGTACGCAGCGGGGATAACTGCTCGTGCAAATACAGGTCAAAATGCATTTTTACATTTTTTACTGTAAATGTCAGTCATCACATTTTTTGTATTCTGTATTGATTTTATATGTAAAATAGCCTATGCCCAATAAAACAGATGCAGTGAAGTAAGGTTACCCTCTCCAGCTACTCATAATGTAACAGGTCAAGTTATTTTCACAAGCTTTCCAATAACATTAGTTAGAAAACATACACATTTTTCTGCTGACACCAGCAGATATTTTGGTCCATAACTGTTCATAAGAAAAAGAAAAGTGCAACTTGTACAGTCGCCAGAGTTGTCTGGGGTGAAGGGTAAAGGGGACAAGGCGCAGAGCAGTTGTTTGACCTAGAAAGATCCTGACCTGCTGTAAAAGTGCATCCTAACACCGACAGTCACGGGGTTGGTCTCCTCCCTGGGCTTTTTCTCCTTCCCGTGCACTCAGAATACTTACTTTGGCCATCATAAAACTCCACACCTTTCTACCATATTTCACTTAAGTGATTCCAAAATGTCAACTTCAAAAGAGCTTTGCAACCTGCACGAACGGCTCATGCTCGTGCTCCTGGACTGAAAGCCACCACCGAGAACCCAGCAAGCCTCCACCGCACGGTGGGGTGGAGAACGAAGACGACGCTGGC